AGGAAGAGGAGGAGGAGGAGGAGGAGGAGGAGGAAGAAGAAGAAGAAGAAGAAGAAGAAGAAGAAGAAGAAGAAGAAGAAGAAGAAGAAAAGAAAACTACATGTTGGCATGGTAACATCTCCTTTTAGCAGACCTGTCACTGGCCCATCATTCTGAGCACATCCTGTTACCTGGCAGGCTATAATCCCCCTGCTATAAGTGCAGACAGTGAGCTTTTGGGGCTGTTGAGAGTCCACAGCAAGTGGGGAGCCTATATCAGGAAGTGCATCAGTTGCCTCAAAATAAGTTCAGACACTTCACCGAGTGACAAAGAATCCCCTCTGGTACCCAACACCACCAGTCCACAGAGCACAGTTAATGTAGACTGTGCTGCAGGTACAGCTGGGGCATCACACACCTGCCTGCCCAGGGTTCAAGGCAGTACTGGACTAAGTGACATTCTTCTCTTGGCTTTTGTTTTTGTTTTCAAACAGAGTCTCGCTTGTGTGGTTGAGTCTGACCTACCTCAGCCTTCTGACGGCCGAGTTAGATGATTCATAAAATTGTCCACCTTAATGGCCTGTGACCTGGGGATCCACAGTACACAGCCATTGACCTGATGCAGTAGGGAATGGCAAGAATGATGGCAGGGGGGATGGAGTCATCGGGAAAACCGCTTCAACACAATTCCAGGACAAAAAGAGGCCTTTGCCAGCTCACCTCATACTCCATAAACTTGGCTGAGTCATCTAGAACCATTTCCTCTCGTTTTGGGGGGGTATCCCGAGTGGCCAGGGCCAGGCAGCGTAGGGTGTCCCGGCCAGTACCCCACTCCTTGATCACTGACATAATTTTTTCCTTCACAGGGCCTGTCAATGGCACACGGGTTGTGCCAACACGCACATAGTTACAGCGGTCGATGACCCCCTCAGGAGCACCCTAGAAAACCAGAACAGCATTCAGAGACCCTCACCGGCCTTGCAGGGTACAGGAAGCAGGCATATGGAAGGGCCCCAGTGTTAGAGAGAGAAGGCTTCCAACCTTGACAAACATCTTGTTTCCTACAGCAGCCCGAGAAGACTTAGCTGGAGAACAGTAGACAGACATAGACTTTCTGTCTCGGGAGAATTCCAGGGTGAATTCCTTCTTCATTAGTTGACGGATCACCTGGGAGGGAAACACCAGATCCCTTTAAAACAGCCCGAAAGGATCTGGATGTCAGAGTAGATCCTGTGCCAAGGTTGAGCCTATAGCAGAGCCTGTTACCCACAAGACAAATACAGAAACTCCAGGGCTGGTGCTTACCATTTCCACCGTGAGCTGTTTGATTTTCAGTTTTGTAGTACTGAGGCTAGAACTCAAGACTCCCACACTAGGCAAGTGTTCAACCACCAAGCCACACCCAAAGTTCAAGTGTCCAGCTTAAAGCACAACAGAAACAGAGTGGCCTTGCATGCTGCTATAGAACAGTTAGTGACTGAAGAAATGCAGTCTGCACCGTCCGGTGTGGTGCAGGTGGGAGACACAGCCAGTATGACCACCACTCTTTTTGAAACAGTGTCTCTCACTGTAGTCCAGGTGGGTGTTAAACTTCAAGTAATTCTCCTGCCTCTGCTTCCCAAGTACCTCTATTTAGTTTGAATACAAATAACACATAGCCTTAAGTGCCTAGCATACAAGAAAAATGAATGAGTAGCCAAGCGGTGGTGGCGCATGCCTTTAATCCCAGCACTTGGAAGGCAGAGGCAGATGGATCTCTGTGAGTTCGAGACCAGCCTGGTCTAGAGAGTGAGTGCCAGGATAAGGCTCCAAAGCTACAGAAAAAACCCTGTCTCAAAAAACCAAAAGAAAAAAAAATGAATGAGTGCCTATAATCCTAGCCTTTACAGATTGGAGAGCTGTAAAGTAGCTGGAGTGCTACCGTGAGTTCAAGACTAATCTGGGCTGCGCAGCATGGCTTTATCTCAAAACAAAACAAACAGAAAAATAATAATCATAGCCTTTATTTGCCAACTACATCTCAGATGGGACTAAGGCTTTACTTAGTGGTAAAGCGCCAACCTAGCATGTGAGAGGCATGGGACTCAATCCATATACAAATAAACTCTCCACAGAACCAAATAAAAATAACAAGAGCTAGGGAGGTGCAGTGACAGAGCTTTGCCAGCAGGTGTGAAGCCTCAAACTCAATCCTTAACACTGAAAAAAAAAATTAGTTTCACTTTTTTGTTACACTGAATAAAGAAGAGCAGAGATGGCTCGGTGGATAAAAGGACAAGCCTGATGACCAGACAAGCCTGAGCTTGGTTCCCAATCCAAGGTGAAAGACAAGAAACAACTCCTACAAGTTCTCTGACCTCCTCATATACAACATAGTACACACAGCTCTCTACTAACATCATACACCCTCACCACATACCAAAATTAATGAAGCAGCAGTGTGTATCTTGCACATACAAGAAAGGAAAAATTTAAAGAAGTAATAAAAAAATTTAAAGGAAAGAAATATGTGCTTAGCACAGGTAAGTTTCTGGGTTCCGTTTCCTAATACCAGTGAAGACATAAAGGAAGAGATGGAGGAAAGCCAGCCATGGTGGCTCGCTCACACTGCTAATACCAACACTTGGGAGACTGAGGTAGGAGGATGTCAAAAGAGAGAGACGTAAGCAACGTAATAATCAGAAACCAGCAAGTGCTGGCACTCGCCTTTAATCTTAGCACTTGGGAGGCAGAGGCAGGTGGATCTTGTGAGTTTGAGGCCAGCCTGGTCTACAGAGGGAGTTCCAGGACAGCCAGGGCTGTTACACAGAGAAACCCTGTCTCCAAAACAACAACAACAAAAAAGAAACCAGCTAGAGCTCACAGCTAGAGTTCAGTGAGTGGCAACACTGACGTTGTCCCCTGGAGAAGACCTCATCTTGTGGGATTGATGGCTGCACAGCCCAGACCCCACACCAAGACCTGATATCTGATGGAAACCAAGGTGCTGTGACTAAACTCAAAGCCAACCCAGCAGGTGGCACCATTGTTTCCGTCCAGCTCTGTCCAACCTTGGGTCACAACAAGAGGAAGTGACCTCCCAGGGTATTGTGACCAGACTATACTGTGGGGAAAAGGAGTTTTACCAGAGCTCAGCTTGGCTTGGAACAGCTGTGGATAAAGCTGCTGCCTACTCAGCTGGGGTCCCAGCATAGACACAAGGCTTTGTCTGTCTGGGTCTGCCCGGATCTTGGGTCTAGGCCTGTGGAGGATGTCCCGACTCACCGAGTTGCAGGCATTAGCCCTCTCCACTTTAGAGAGGCTTCTCACTTCAGTGTTGAACACATTCATCTTCTCTACCAGGGTGGTGAGGGCTGTCTCCGTGGCCTCGCCCACCTTCTCATAGACACCTTTGGTCTGGAATGGACAGAGGAGGAAGAGGAAATGTGTGCCTGGATCTCCTGTCCTCACCCAGCACAGCCATCTTCATCTGGGTGGGACAGGAAGAAGCCAACCACTTCCCTTGCACAACCTTTCCCTTGCGTTTGCTTCCTAACACCTGCTTCCTCCTGGAATGCCCAGGAAGCAGACTCTGAGATGCAGGAATGGAAGGGGGTGGCTTTGGGGATGAATGGTTACCTCATTAAAATCCAAGGAGGAGTCATTGCAGAGGGCACAGATGGTGGCCAGCTCCACCAGCCCATCATACTGCCCTGCTCGGATTGGCTTATCATTCTTCAAGCTGGCAGCGAGGTGGGGGGGAAGGCAGGAGAGAAACAGTGGAGAACAGAGCATGAGCTGCAGAGAGCACAGAGAAGCAGACAGGCATCGGGAAGGAGAGGAGGTGGCAATGGACTTGGAGATGGAGGACTGGGTGGGAGAGAACAAGGTTGGGAAAGAAGGGAGCAAAAAAGGAAGGGGAAACTAGTAGGAGATCCAAAGTAAAGGAGGTGGGGGATGCACATGGCACTGAGGGACTCCGGGTAACTTACACTTCTCCCTCGGGAGCGTAAGTGGAGCCAGTGATGGAGAACTCATTCAGCGAGCAGACATCCCCATCCACCCTGTCAATGATGAACATCTGCAGGGGAAAAAGCCACACAGATACTCCACATCCCAGCCCTGAGCGCAGGCATCCTGAAGTTCAGACTAAGTGGGTTTTCCAGCATCCCATCCTCTCCCCCCACCCCACCCCGTTCTCTTCTCTTTGACCTGTACTTGCTCCCTGTCACTCCAGGGCTTTGCAATAATTCTCCACGTTCCTTGTCAGTAGCCTTAAAAACCAGTTACTGGGGGCTATGCTAGGCCTTCTCCATCAGTTCACAGATGTATACAACAGAGTGTGACAGAGACTGGGGCCAAGTGTACCTGTGAGCAGTGGCTCCATCTACAGCTCCAGCAATAGTGCTAGAGCTTCCTGCAGGAAGAGCTGAAAGTGTGAGTCCTTTTCCTATGACATTGTCCCTTAACTCATTTTTATAGGGGGCCAGGAGTCACGTCCTGAAAGCCTATGTTCTGGCTATGAAGCCCATATGTAGAGAGGTAGAGGACGTGACTGATGCTCAGGATAGCAACTTACTTTGCCCACACTGCTCACTTCCTCTTGATCCCACTACAAACTCTTTGTTCTTCAGAGTTATCATTTTTAAAATCTTACTTATCTACTTATCTATTTTCATTTACTTTGGTGGGGCTTAAAGACAGGGTGTCTCAGTGTAGCAGTGGCTGTCCTCGCTCTGTAGACCAGGATAGATTTGAACTCACAACTCAGAGATCTGCCTGCTTCTGCCTCCTAAGTGCTGGGATTGAAGACATGTGCCACCACTGCCTGATGTTCATTTACTTTTTGAAACAAGATCTCACTCTGTGGCCCAGGCACTCCTGGAACTCACAAAGCCAGCCTTAAACTCCTGGCAATCCTCCTGTGTCAATCATGCTTACACCAGGCTTTCATCCATCCACTCATTCATTCATTCTTTCCTATAGCGCTGGGCTTGAAGATAGGGCCTTGTGAGTGCTAGGCTAGCACTCTGCCACTGAACTACATCCTTAGCCCTACAGAAAAATATTTTATGTCAAAGGCACAATATTCCACAGAACTCTGTTTAGGGAAGGTAGGGCATCAGTGGCTAACACCTAAAAGAGCCCATGAAACTAAGTGTGATAGCATAGGCCTGCAATCTCAGCTATTGAAAGTTAGAGGCAGGAGAATCAGGAGTTCAATGCCAGCCCCATCCTGGGAAGAGAGGGAAAGAGGGAGGCAGATATTCTTAGATGACAAAAAAAAAAAAATCAGATCTCTTTTTTGTTCTGACATGTAGCATTTCCTTACGTTATGAAATCAGTGTGTGGCTTTGGGTTGAGTGGGGTGGCATAGACCTGCAGGTCCAGCTATTGGGGGCCAAAAGTGGGAAGATCACTTGAGGCTGACAGTTCAAGACAAGTCGGAAAATCCCTGACAAAAACCAAAAAGCCTCTAAGCCACGGCTGCAGCTTTGTAGGACAGGACCACAGATACCTGTCTGTCACCCTTGCTTTCCAGGGCACCTCACACTTGGCAGGGCTTGGACACTGTACCCAAAGCTGCAGTCATTCTGAATAGAGAAGCAGATGTTGCTGAATTACACATTTGCTTTAAAAATATTTTGATAGCTGTCTTTTCAATCAACGGTTTGTAATCTTATCTATTTTTCTGTTTTCAAAAAAGAATACTGGCTGGGTATGGTGGTGCATGCTTTTAGTTTCAGCACTCAGGAGGCAGAAGCAGGTGGATCTCTATGAATTCAAGGCCAGCCTGGTCCACATAGCAAGTTTCAGGCCAGTCAAAGCTACATAAAGAGACCTGTCTGGGTTGGCTGGCTGTTTAGAAGTCAATGAAATGGCTCAATGGGTAAAGGCACTTGCCACCACACCTGATGATCTGAATTCAATCCCCAAAACATACATGGTGAAAGGAGAGAATGATCTGAAATAAATACTTTTAATTTTTTTTTAAAGAAATCCTGTTCAGGACCAGTACGGCTAGGCTTGCTGGTCCTGTCATGAAGTGGCCACCCACTCTGGGGGTATTGGCTGCACAAACGTACTTTGGTTTTTTGGCGGGGAGGTTTCAAGACAGGGTTTTTCTGTGGCTTTGGAGGCTGTCCTGGAACTAGCTCTTGTAGACCAAACTGGTCTCAAACTCACAGAGATCTGCCTGCCTCTGCCTCCTGAGTGCTGGGATTAAAGGTGTGTGTCACCACCACTGCTTGGCTTTTTTTTTTTTTTTTTTTTTTTTTTTTTGAGACAAAATCTCACTGTTGCCAGGTTGGCCTTGAACTCCTCAATGGAAGCAATCCTTGCACCCCAACTCCAGATACATGAGGCAAAGCCTTGCTGGCCTGTAAGTACAAAGCCAAGGTAGGCCTCACATTCATAATACCCCTGCCTTCACCTCTTGAATACAGGGATAACAGGCAGGTACCACAATGCCTGGTTCTGCCATTCATAGATTTTGTATCTTTTGGTGAACCCCTAAATCTCCCTAAGCCTCAGTTTACTTTCTGGAAAAGTGAAGCTAAAGAGAATGTCCCTGAAGGGGCTAGTGTAGAGGATCAGAAAGACACACACACAGATTAGCCTGTGGGGACATTTTCTTGATTAATGACTGACGTGGAATAACCCAGACCACCAAAGGCAGGTGATCTTGGGGTGTACAAGAAAGCAGGCTAAACAAGCGATAGGAAGCAAGCCAGTAAGCAGCTTCCTCTGCTCCGCCCTTGTGTTTGCTTCAAGTGCCTAGCTGGAGTTTCTGCCTTGGCTTCCCTTGATGATGGACTGGAAGCTGTAAGATGAAATAAAGCATCTCCTCCCAGAGTTGCTTCTGGTCATGCTGTTTATCACAGCAATAGAAAGCAAGCCAGTAAGCAGCTTCCTCCAGGTTCTGGCCTCTGCTCCTGCTTGAGTTCCTGCTCTGACTTCCTTCGATATTGAACTGTGATTGGGACACACAAGCCAAATAAACCCTCTCCTCCCCAAGTTGGTTTTAGTCAGGGTTTTATGAAAGAAACAGAAAGCAAACTAATACAGCTCTTTCCTTGATCTAAGAGTGGCATTTAATCTACTCTTGAGTATTTCCCAGGCCACACTGAGAAGCCACTAGTACAGAAACCCAAACTTCAGAGGGCTCATGTCACCCCGCCTATGCTTCTCCTGACCTTGCAGACTGACATCTGGTTGGTGGTGAGGGTCCCTGTTTTGTCAGAACAGATGACAGAGGTACAGCCCAGGGTCTCCACAGAGGGCAAGCTCCTCACGATGGCATTCTTCTTTGCCATCCGGCGGGTACCCAAGGCCAAGCAGGTGGTGATGACGGCAGGAAGCCCTATGGGGATAAAGATGGGGTGAGCAAACAAACCAGGAGGAGGGAGACCTAGTGTGGTTGCTATGTAACAGCCACCAAAGCTATCAGGACCTGTCATTGTTACTTTATCTGGATGACCAAGAAATGGTTGCCTTACCTTCTGGGATGGCTGCCACAGCTAAGGCCACAGCAATCTTGAAGTAGTAAATGGCCCCCCGGAACCAGGAGCCCCCATGGACAGGGTCGTTGAAGTGACCGATGTTGATAAGCCAGACAGCCACACAGATGAGGGAGATGACCTTAGACAGCTGCTCCCCAAACTCATCAAGCTTCTGCTGCAGTGGGGTCTTGTCCTGCTCAGTGGCAGCCATTTGGTCTCGAATCTTGCCAATCTCAGTACTCACACCAGTGGTGGCCACAATGCCCACAGCCTTGCCGGCTGCAATGTTGGTGCCCTGGGAAGGTGAGGAAGGAATAGGGTCAGACAAGGGGTGGTCCCCATGCTACAGGCCAGGGGCTTCATCTCTTCTTTCACTGCCATGCTTCCCTCCACACCCAGATCCTCTGGCTGGCCATGTGACTGCTTACTGAGAACAGCATGTTCTTCTTGTCCTGGTTGACAGCTCGGGGGTCAGGGACAGGGTCTGTGTGCTTGATGACAGATACAGACTCTCCTGTGGAGAAAGGACCAAAGAGTTTTCAGGTGACATCATGTCTCTGTCCCTAACATTCTGACACTTGGCAATCAGCAAGCAAACATTCTGGCAGAGTCTTGCCTCTGGAGGAAAGTGACTGGGGCAAGTAGGAAGTCCATTGCCTTTAGAATTAAAAGATGCTGAGCAAGCCTAGTATGTGACTTTGATCGCTTAACTTCCATTTGCTCCTTCCTCGTGTCCTGGTGGAAATTGAGTAAGCCTGTGTGGATGTGAAGCATTTCTCAACTGCATAGCACATTCCTGGGAGACGACCAGTGTGCCTTCCTCACCAAGGACACAGGCTCAGATCCACCTGCTATGGGTCCAGTTTACACGGCTTCCTTCCCAGAGTTTAAAGTGTGTCCAAAGTCTCCACCCTCTCCTAGAATTTCTCATTTGAAGACTTTTCAGAGTGTTGGAGAGGACAGGACAATTTGTGACAGGGGTAAGGCAAAGGCTATATGGAAAATAGTTACAAACATCCTCTCCCCTGCTCCTTGTGATAGAACGAAGGCTGAACCATATGGATGATGCTACCTCAGAACTAAAAAGAGGTCCTACTATGGGGTGCCCTCCTTCATCCATTCAAAACCTCTTCTCTATCTACCTAGCTCCTCCCTCCCTCCCTGAGCCCTCCCCCCTGAGCCAGCCTACCTGTCAAGATGGATTGGTCCACCCGGAGGGTGGTGGATTTGATGGAGAGGATGCGGATGTCTGCAGGGACTTTGTCCCCCACTGTAGAGAGAGGGGTGAGTTCAGCTGGGAATGGAGCTTTCTTTCTTCCCAATCTTTGTCTCCCTCACACCATCCATCCTTCAGACCCTACAGCATCCAACCGTTCACAGGCCTTCAGCACGAGAGTCCCCACTCCATCACCACCCCACAGACACTTTCCTGTTGTCCCCCACTGAATGCTTCTCTTCCCACTGGCTGCAAGCCTGAGAGGGGAAGCTCACATGATCCTTAGAGGGTAGTGTGTGCTCCCTGAATGTGCTTTCAGTCACTGAGAGGAAAACTGGGGGACAAGCCAGCTAACACTGAGGAAGGGAAACAAGAGGAAGGTAAAGAAGGAAGCAGAGGGAGACTGGGAGGGTTAGAGAGCAAGGTAGATGCTGAGAAAATCCAGACCAAGCGAGAGCGAAAAGGGAGCATGAAGCTGAAAAGAATGTACAGCAGGAAGTGGGAGGGAGCACTCCTGACTGTGGCTCAGGTCTTCACAGACTGTGAAAGCATCTTGGCAGGGGCTGAGGAAGACCCCGCCAGACTAGAGACCTTTTGGGGGACACACACACACACCTCCTCGGGCCTCTGCCTAAAGCCACCTTGGCCCCATGGGTGGAACTGGGGTGAAATTCACTTGCTTTCCTTTCTCTTGGTTTCCAAGGTCCCTCCTCCAGTGCCAGAGGAAGCCGGAGGAGGTCAGCAATGGAGTCAGGCAGACACCCTTGTCACCAAAGCCCAAGTGGTATTTATAGACAATCATGGCACTGACCCCAAACTGTCACCATAGCAGAACTGCCCTGTGATGGAGCTGAGGGGCCTTCAGCCCACCAGCTTTCAACCCTATGCTTCTCTGGGTGGTGACATGGCATGAGGGAAAGAAACTTAGAAAAACACATTCACCAAACTAGGAACCTAAAGAGGTGGAAAGGACTGCTCAGGGCAAATATAAAAAGCGCTGAAGGGGGCAGAATCCCAGTAATCTTAGCTACCCAGCCCCACCCCTCCCTGAGCCGGCATTAAGTGTCCCTGAGGGGGCAGGGCCCTCCTTGAGTGCCCTCCTCTTAAGTCCCGTGCTCCTAGCTGGTAGAGGACTAGGAGTTACCCTTACATGGTGGTGGGGGGGTAGTCATCCACCCCCTCCCCCACCCCCACTCCCTTCTACTCTCATTCCTTCCCCTTTGAGAGGCCTCAAGGGCACTGAGGGGTCAAGACTGAAAGCTGACCAAGCTTGTGGTGGGTGGAAGGAGAGGGGAGCCAGGCTCGGGAAGGGGTGGAGATGGGGCCGTTGGCAGGGACTGGCTTCCACCTGTTGCTTGCAAATGTTGGCTGAGAGGAGGGGGGGACAGGGGGTCCGTCTACTGCCTCAGGGACAGGACTAGCTGTTCCTATTGAGACTCTACTGGGGAGGGGTGCTGTGGCCTGAATGTCCTGGAGTGACCCCTGAGGAGTCTGGGAAGGAGAAGCAAAGACAACACCATCCTCACAGATAAAGAATCAGGGCTAATGGGCCCCCTGCTCTCTTCTTGGCCTCAGACCCAAGTTTTCCCTCCTGGACCATCCATCCCAGCACTTACCGGCCACCTCCACAATATCCCCAGGGACAATGTCCCTAGCCTTGATTCTTTGCACTGACTTTCGGTCAGCCCGATAGACCTTCCCCATCTCAGGTTCATATTCTTTCAAAGCCTCAATGGCGTTCTCTGCATTCCGTTCCTGAGGAAAAAAGTGGAGTCAGAGAGAGAGGATGGTCCTGGTCCCGCAGGAGGCTGGTCTGGGTACATGCAGGAAGAGTAAGGGATGTGCAGACAGAGGAACCAGTATTATGATCCTAGCAGAAGTAAGGACATTGCAGAAAAGGCTGGCTTATCCAAGTCCAGCTGGCACAAAAGGTGCACAGAACCCCACATCACAGCAGGGGTGTGTCTGCTGTAGAATATATTGCCAGTGGCTAAAAACAAGTGAGAAAGGTTTGGACCAAGCGGAAAGGAATTTTAAAAAGAAAAAAAAAAAAAAAAAACCGAGAGCAAGGGACAAGAAAAGTAAACTGATAATGTCAGAGGAAGAAGGAAATCAAAACTAGTTATTTATTTAGTACCTACTATGTGCCTTGAACTTTCATGTTCTTTTTCAATTGCATCAATCCTGAGAAACACAGTCATTGTTTTTCCTTTTCTTTTCTTTCCTATTTCTTTTTTAAATAGGGGCTCTCTATGTAGCCCTGCCTGGCCTGGAATTCTCAATGTACTCTCTACACCAGGCTAGCCTCAAACTCACAGAGGTCCACCAGTCTCTACCCCTGCAACTGTGGGAATAAAGGTGTGTGTCAATACATCTGACTCCATCCCCTTTCCTTTCTCCTCGTGGTGGGATTATTAGTATGTTCAACCTTGCATAGCTTTTGTTGGTGGTGGTGGGTTTTTTTGTTGTTTTTTTTTTAGGACAGAATTTTACATTGTAGTCCAGGCTAGCCTAGAATTTGAGAGTCTCTTGCTTCTGCCTCTGGAGTGCTGTAGGTGTGTCCCACCACACCTAGCTTTCTAGTCCTATGAGAAGACAGAGGAGTGGGGAAAGCTAGGGGAAATGATGAAGGAAGGGGAAATTGGAAGGCGGCTTGGCCCCTCGCCCAGTGTTGAGACACAAGTGGGGAGAAGGGGTCAAAACTAACCTGCCAAACCCCCACAATGGCATTGGCAATGAGGATCAAGAGGATGACAAAAGGTTCGACAAAGGCAGTGACAGTTTCTTCGCCTTCCTCAAACCAGGCCAGCACCTGAGAGGGGAAGGGAGAATAGCAGGTGGTAACAAAGCCCCCAAATGACTAAAGAAAGGAACTGGAAAGCTTCTTAAGACTGCTGCAGATGTCAGACGATGTATACAAGTGTGAGGTTCTTCACACTGCAGGCGCTGAGCACACAATACCCATTCATCCTTGTGATGGTGTGCAAATAGGCAGTGCAGACACACACTTGAGGATTCACTGGGAATGCTTTCAGGTATCCCTGACCAAATTGTTGGCTTGTAAGCAAACCTGCCGGGAACACCCAGGGTCAACTACCCCTACAGCAACATCTATCCCCACAAGAACCCAAGCCCAACGGGAAAATCCCTATGGTCCCCAAAGAGCCCAGCCCACCCACAGCCCTCCCTTACCACCAAGGCATGGAAGCTCCAATTTCATGAGAGAACAGGAGGGGAGTAGGGTTACAGGCCTCCAGCACCCACCCCACCCCAGCTGTTGCCACTGCCAGGCAGCAGCCACAGGCAAATGTCAAGGAGCAAATCTGAGGAGAGAGAAGGGAGCTGCCAGCTTAGACTCAGAGTGCATGAGGCCTCCATAGATGCTTTATTTTTATTTATTTATTTATTTATTTATTTGGCCTCTTAGACCTTATTTTCCAGCTAAGATGCTAAAGAAATTCTAAAATGTAAGACAGACTGCTGGGATGGTGGATGACAGGAGCCAGCAGCTGGGGCTGTGAACACTGGAGATGTAACAAGGAGATGGGATAGCTAAGGCTCTGAGGGGGCTGGGGACACTAAAAGGTAAGGATGATTCAGGCTGGATAAAGAGATGTAGGCACCAAGTGCCAGCCCCTAATGGAAGTAGGATGTAGTGAAGCCTGAAGACAGTTGAGGGGTGGGGTGTGGGGGTTGTAGAGACTGGAAGGCATCCTGGCAGCTACCACTGTACCAGTAGCACCTTCCCCACCTCTCTAAGCAAGTCTCTTTTGGCCAATCAGCATCACAGGCTGTAGAGGGTAGGGAAGGATTGGTGAAGCAAAGTGGGGACCAACCAGGACAGGCAAGGAGTGGTAGTGACCCCCAAGTGGACACATCGAAGCTGGGAGTCCTGTGCTTAGGGGGTAACCTGAGCCCTTGAAGCCCTTGAAGCTGGGAGGGTGGCTTAGCTTCAGTGTTTTGGCTGAGAACACTCTCAGGGCTTAAAATAAAACCTCTCTGCAGGGAGGGAAGCAAACCAGCACCCCACCCCCAGCTCCAGCATGGAAAATAGGGTGTTTAGGGCTTGGACCAGGGCATCAAGGATGGTAAGAGGCACAGCCAATCAATCACAAGTCCGACACCACTCTTCAGACAGCCCCCAGACTTACGAAGGAAATGCAGGCAGCCAGGAGAAGGATCCGCACCAGCAGGTCTTCAAACTGCTCTACCACCAACTCCCACAGGGACTTGCCTGGGGGAAGAGGCAAGAAGAGGAATTAAGATCCAAAAGATGAAGGTCTGTGGCTCTGGATGGGCTAGGGTCTAGAGTCTATAGAGTGCCCTGGACCTCTGGGTTAATGGGCAGCCCAGCTTGACATGAGAGAAAGAGATGAAACAGCCAAAAAGGCCCTTCAAATCTGTAGCAATTGTTCAAGGGTGGGAAGTTCCAAGGAAGAAACATCTGGAGATGTCTGACACCAAGCTCTGGGGAGGGGCATCTGGAGAAGGCAGGGAGCGGGGATGAACACACAGAAGTATCACTCAGGAGGGCTCAAGGCTCAGATAACTTACCTTCCTCAGCAGGGAGCTCTACCCAGGGAAAAAGAAGAAAAGGACAAATTTAGTAGGGGTCCAGCCTCATGTCTCCCACACCCTGAACTTTGCATCTAAGAGAATCAGCTATCAAAAGGGCATCTGAAGTTCAAGGTCACCTAGAAAACCTCCCCAAACTCCAGATCATAAAACTGTTTTCTTTAGTATCTTCCTTCTGCCCTACTTGTCCCTACAGACCCCAGAGGAAGCCGTTCCCACTAATGGGCATGGGAGGGCAGCCACACCAGCCTCTCCTCTAAGGGATACTTACCATTGGGGCCGTATTTTTCCAGATGCCGCTTAACTTGGTCTGGGGTAAGGCCTGTGGTCTCGCTCACCCCAAAATAGGACAAACATTCCTCTGTGGACTTGGAGTGTGCGGCCTCCATTGTGCTCCCTTCTTGGGGGCCAGGGGGGCGATGTATTCCTTCTTAGGGGCCTCTCACTGGAGGGGGGACTTCTTCAGTGTGTCCACCTGCCTGATGATCTAGGCTTCTTCCTTTTTCTTGCCTGCCCCCCCCAGATTCTTCTTCCTTCCACGAAGTTCTGACCCCAGTCCCACTTGCAGCAGCCGGCCACCCCCCCAGCCCCCAGCTGGTCCTTATGAGGGAGTGGGGGGGCCAGGCTCCCCCTTCCTCCAGATCAGGGATTGGCTGGCTGAGACCCCAGCAGGAGGGGTCAGAAGAGAGAGATTTCTGCTGACAGAGAAGAACAGTGGGGCTGCAGCCTGAGATGTCACTCATAAGAGTGGCCCCAGCCCCAGAGAAGGGGGCAGGGAATAAAGTCATTTTTCCGTTATCTACTACTGACCCTGCCCCCAGCTGCCTCAACTTCCCCAGTTACACTAAATGCACAATTCCAAGCTCGCTCTAACAGCCCCCTCTATCCCTAGGCTTCATTGCCCCTTCACCCTTTCCTGTCTTGACCATCCTGAGCCCCTTCCCACTGTCACAGTCTCCTCCCCTGCCTATTGTGTTCAGAGAACAGGGGAGGTACTCCAAGCTTTTGGGGGAATCAAAAGAGCAGGAAAAGCATCTTTGGGGGACAGAGGAAGTAGTTCTAGAGAGATAGGGGAAGTGGGGAAGGGAGACAGTCAAGGGGACAGGGCAGAAGACGGTAACCTTACCCCAGGGAGGGGTTGCTCAGCCATCAACAAGGGATTTAGTGTCCAGGCCCTGGTGAGCAAAGCCAGGACTGTCCGTGTCTCCTAAACTCCCCCCGCCACTACCGTACTAACTCAGCCTCTGGGAACACAGCCTTTAGCTCCCCCTTGAAACTGGCAGGGAATCCCCCCCGAAGAAAATGGGACACCCAGGCAGTCAGGTAACCCAAGAGGCTACAGAATGTGCTGATGGCAGAGGGGGAGGGGTAAATGTTTCAGGGTGAGGATTTCCTCATCCCACACTGGCCTTTAGTCCCAGGGGCTTCATGGGCTTCATCGTTGACCCCAGAGGTGTGGGGGTCTCAGCAGCTCTGGCCCTGATACAACAGCCCACAGAGGGAGTGAGGATCAGGACTAGTAAAGAGCGCTTTGGGGCTGGGCCTGCCCCATGCCAGCGAGTCCAAGGGCAGGACCCCTGAAGTTAGATAAAGCAGGGGCTCCAGAGGGAGGGGGGGTTAGGTAGAGATGATAGAACCTAGGTAGAAGACACACAAGAAGACACACACAGACTCCCCTAGACTGAGGAGAGGGAAAAGAAACAGCAGGGTGCTGGCTGTGACGGTCAAGTGGGCGGGTCCCGGGGGCTGGGTGCAAAGACACAAGTTGTTGCTGAAGGACTGGCCTGGGTGTCAGCTTCCTCCGAAAAGCAGCTGCTCTGAGCCACCCTTCCCAACCCCGATTCGCCATTGGGGCATTTTTGGTTTCCACCAAGGCAGCTGCTGGAGGAACAGACAAGGTACATGGCCCAGGATGCAAGCAGAGCGGAAACTGAGGCAGAAAAGTTTCCATGGGAGTCAAGATTAAAAAGTCAGTAAGGGCAAGCAAGCAGTATTGCAGCCCTGGAACACAGGTCCCACTTCTACCCAGGCCTCAGTTTCCCTGAGAAGAACTAAGAAGCACTTCCACACTAGGGCTCCAGCACACAAACCAAATAATACAAGAAGCAGAGCCCAGCAGAACAAAAAGAAGCCCCCCTTGTTTGGGGTGAGGGACGGCCAACACGAATAGATAGAAATAAAGGACTAAGTCTCAGATTCATCCTGCCTTCTGCCCAGACTTGGGGGAGGGGTGAAGTGAGGACAAGGTGTTCCTTCCCGCCCTCTTTTCACAGTTCCCACAAACCCCTCCCTTGGAGTCCTGCTGTGACCTGAGATGGAAGGACTTAAGACAATGGAGGGGGAATGTAGGAGGCCACATAAAAAGGCATCTCTGCCTGCTTCAGGACCCTCCATCTCGGACCAGAGGCTAGCTGAGCACCCATGGATGTTGGGGCCCTAGCTGGCTTTTCCCCAACAGCATCTGGAGGAGTGACAGGGCCACTGTCTCCCAGCAGCAGGAATGCCCAAACATGGTGTAGGGGCAAGTTAGCTTCAAAGGCGAGTGAGGAAAGAAGGCAGGCTTTACAGGACACTCCTGCCAACGAGGCTCTTTGAGGTTATCCATTTCTATCTTCTCAGCTTCCCAGATAGATAAAGGAAGGCTAGAGAGAGAAAGCTACCTGCGCAGGGCTGCAGGGGGCATCTCTCTGCACCGTGTCCTGCCCTGGAGAGGGCAAATGAGACAATTTCAGACCACTTCCCACTACACCAAGATTGAAGTGTTCTTGCTCCTGAGTTTTGACTGAGAAAGGGGAGAGGACAGGTGAAGGGCATGAAGGCAGAGCCTAACCCATTCCTGTCCAGTTCCACAAATACTTAACAGAGAATCTCATTGTTTCTTGGGCTCTTCTAGCCAGAACATGGTAGTCTGGGGGTGTCTCTCTGCCCACCCCAAGATGGCAAGGCATGGGGGAGGTATGCCTTTGAGCACCAGTTGCCATGAGATTAGGGGAGGATCAGGCCTTCCCTCTCCGAGGTGTTAACAGCCCTAGCTGGCCATTGGCTATCCAACAATCCCACTTGGAGAACACAGTACACAGGTCTAAAGCCGCCCTCTGCCCAGCCTCCACAACAGGGCCAATTCAATCCCTATCCAGGCCAAGATTTGGGGAGCCCCAGGGATAAGATAAAACAAGAGCCAGCAGGCTTCCCCCAACCAACCCCCACCCTAGGTAGCCTATGAGCTCAGCTGTCTCCTGTCCATCTCCCCACAGAACCAACACAGGGCTCAGAATAGCAAGGTCATGAGTGTGGGTAGGGCCTCTTGGAGGTGGGGCAGAGGCTGAGGGACAGAAGATGAGCCACTCCACTTTCCCAGGGGAGGGGGTGAGACAGTGGTAAGGTGGGAGGGAAGATGAAACAGTCTTCAGATCCTGCTTTCCTTCTAGGACCCCTGTCCCCACCCCTAACCTGGGAAGCCAGGGCACCCCTGTAGATTATAAATGCAGTGCTGGAAGATGTGTCAGGGAAGAGCCTGCATTAAAATTGGGAGTTTGGTGGTGGTGGTGGTAGTGGTTGTAAACCCCACGCCAACAGCCCATACTTCAGGAAAATGAGCCAGTAGGGATGGGGAACACATAGAAGCCGGACCCAGGCAATTGCAACTTGTGACTTTCATTCGTTCTTTTTTCTTTTCTTTCGGTTTTGAGACAGGGTTTCTCTGTGTAGCCCTAGATGTCCCAGAAGTCACTCTGTAGACCAGGCTAGCCTCAAACTCAGAGATCCACCTGCCTCTGTCTCCCAAGTGCTGGGTTTAAAGGTGTTGGCCACCACTACTCGGCTTGGAACTTATGACTTTCAGGGAAGTCTTGAGACGTTTATAAACTCAGGAAGAAACATTTAAGCCAAGTCATGTCGGTAGCACCAATTTAGAGAAACTTCACATCTCAGAGGACGCCAAGGCCCAGGGTCGCTGGCCCTGCCACTAGGTCCATACAACAAACGAGAGGCAGCACCAGGAACTTGGAGCCGGTACTGTCATCCAGCTTGTCTCTGACAAAGAGGACAATGAGCCTGGCCTTGGGTCCCTCTGCAGTCAGACTTGAACTGCTACAGTCAGTCTCCTCCAACTCCGAGACTCCAGCATCTCCTCTGACCACTTTCTTCCTAGGGTAAGAGCCTCACTCAAAAAGTTCAACAAAACAAAGGCGATCATAAACTCCATTTCAAAAGAACAAGCTGGCAGGATGTGGCCATGTAATCCCTTCTGCACACAGCGGCTGAAGCGGGAGGATCACAAGTTCTGGTCACATAAGACACTGTCTTAAAAGAAACCCTCACCCAGAAAAACAAAACACGCTGGAACCCCCAAGAAGTACTATTGAGCTCTGCACTTTAGCACTCAGTAAACCAAGTGGACTACAGAAGAGAGGTGGCTTCAAAGGCCTTGGACTAGAGTGTGAAAAGGACTGGACCCAGGCCAGGTCTCTGAGTTCAGAAGACAGCCTTATCCACCTGTCTCAGTTCCCACTCCAAACACTAGCCACAGCCATCATGATGGAACTAAGATAAACCCTTTATTTATTTATGCTTTTCCATTTTGTTTAAAACAACAACAACAACCTTAATATAACTGACAGCCCTTCCCCCTCACCCTTGCTTGGGTTGGGGGGTAATTAGTGGGGAGATAGCCCCCCAAGGAGGGACTGACCATAAGAGCCCCTTAGGGAGGTAATGGAGCCCAAGTCCTTGGCCTGGGGCAAGGGCACCTGTAGTGTAGTAACTGGGGAGTTAACAGGGCTCTTGAACCTCTACTTGTACCAACATACACACCCTTGGCTGACAAGGGTCAGGAAGCATGTGGGGAGGGGGCTCCCATTTTCCTCGGTGTCCCTACCCAGCCCAGTCTCACAACTTAAGGCTAGGAGTAGGAAAATGGAGGGTGGGTAGGTATCTCACACAAAGGAGTACTGGTTATTAATGGCTCGGGGGTGGCCCCCTTCTTCTCCATTGCCCCCTAGTGGTAGCTGCTGAAGCTGCACCATTAGGGACACCCCCAAGTCCCCACCAGTGCCAGCACCACCCTGAGCCTCAGTGCCTGGTGCTATGGCCTCTTCCAATTCAACCATGGGGACCAGCTCAGCCACGGGGACCAGCTCTTCCTGGATCCCTCCACCGCCCGCTTTCTCTTTCTCTTGCCTCTCTTTGGCTGCTGCGGCTGTGGTGGCCGCCACTTCTGGCGCCCCCGACGCCTCTTCTGCCCCAGGATGTGGGGGATCTGTCCATGGAGGGGGTTCAGGGGGCTGGGCTGGGTCACGGAAGATGTTCCGTTCTGGATAGGAATGGTAAGAAGACACAGTGATTGTGGAAGGAAGCGAGTTCCTGTGCTGGCCTCCCCTTTGCTTGTCCTCCCCAAGGAGCCATGTACTATCTCCCCCATATCCCATCTCCTGAGCAACCCCCCTCCATGGAAGATGGATCATGGGCGGCGACGGTGAGAGGACCACACTTACACACAGTCACTCGCTCCG